ATGAGAGTAATTAATGTTTGCAGAAATTAAATTGATAGACAATCTATATATTTAGCTATATTACCCCCATTATTAAAATACATGTTAAAAAATGGTGAAAAAAATCAATGTAATTTTTTTAATTAATTGCATACACATGCATTTTGAAAAATTCTTATATTATATAAGAACCTCAAATAGAGTATAAGAAGAAGAAAAAAAAAAAGACTCTAAGAAACATAGTTGAATTCAAAGGCAAGTATTTTTATTCAAAATGGATTCTCCATCATCGGAAGTAAGAATCGTCTCAAAATGCTTCGTGAAACCCAAAATCATCCCTGAAAAATGGAAAGAGCCATACCATTTGTCACCTTTGGATCTTGTGATGCTCTCTATGCACTACATTCAAACGGGTCTTCTCTTTCTCAAACCATCTGATGATGCAATCAGATCAAAAGATTTCATGGAGACTTGGTTACAAAAGCTTAAAGACTCTCTAGCCGCAACACTTGTCCATTTCTATCCGCTCGCAGGTCGCCTCTCGACTCTAACAACCGATAACCCGAGATCATACTCGGTGTTTGTGGATTGTAACAATAGTCCCGGGGCTGGATTTATCCATGCAAAGGCTGATCTAAGTGTAGGAGATATTGTTGGGTCCAAATATGTTCCTTTGGTTGTTCAATCTTTCTTTGACCACCATAAAGCCGTGGCTCACGATGGTCATACCATGAGTCTCTTATCAGTCAAGGTACATTAGTTAATTCATTCACTTGGGGTAAAAGTTGAATCTAGGTTTTTTTTTTTGGGGTATAACTGTTATAAAGCAACACCAAGATTTAGAGTTGCGTTTGATCACAAGTAACAGTTCGTTTGAGACCTCAAATACAGAAAATAAGAGCAAAAGTGTAGTTTTGGGGTAAAATAATAAATCATCTATTACAAAACTCATATTTTAACAAATTGATTATGAGATACATCAAAGAATTGTTCAAATGGTCCAATTGAGCCCAAGTAACGCTGATATTTTCGGTACACGAAATTGAGTATAGGTTGATAGTCTTTATTGTATATCTCATAGTACCATACGCTAAATAATAGACTAAAGACTGAAATAATGTTTCAGGTAACAGAATTGATAGATGGAGTGTTCATAGGATTGTCATTGAATCACGTGATCGGAGATGGAAGTTTGTTATGGCATATCTTCAACTCTTTGTCCGAGATTTTCAATGCACAAGAAACCAATAACTTGCTTCTCAAGAATCCTCCTGACCTAAAACGTTGGTTTCCTAAAGGTTACGGTCCTGTGCACAACCTTCCTTTCACTCACTCTGATGAATTCATCAGTCGATTCGAATCTCCGGTCTTGAAAGAGAGAATATTCCATTTCTCATCAGAAACAATAACATCATTGAAATCAAAAGCTAATCAAGAATGTGGAACAACAACATCAATCTCTTCTTTTCAATCGCTAGCCGCATTTATATGGAGATCCATCACAAGAGCAAGAAAATTACCGCATGATGAAGAAACTCGTTGTAGCTTAGCCGCTAACAATAAAGCCAAAATGGATCCACCATTGTCTTTGAACTATTTTGGTAATTGCCTTTCTTCGGTAAGGTCCATGACCGTGAAATCAGGTGAACTATTGGAAAATGATTTAGGATGGGCCGCTTTGAGAATCCATCAAGCTGTAATTGGAAACACTAGTGAACAGATCTCGAAAACAATCGATGAATGGTTGAAAACATCTTTTGTTTTTCATTTAGAAACACTTTTGGGATCAATGGTTGTTCACATTGGAGGCTCACCAAGGTTTAAGAAGTATGAATGCGAGTTTGGGATTGGAAAAGCGGTTGCGGTTAGAAGCGGTTATGGTGGTAAGTTTGACGGGAAGATATCAGCTTATGTAGGAAGAGAAGGAGGAGATAGCATAGATTTGGAAGTGTGTCTTATTGCAGAGTTTATGGAAGCTTTGGAATCAGACCAAGAGTTCATGTCCTATGTCTCCTCTTCTTCTTGATATTATTCATATATATAGTATGTACTAATTTTTCTAAATAAACTCAATTTGTTGGATTCAGCAATCGCGTTGCTACTTTTAAAATAAAATCATAATCATGTCTTAGTAAAATTAGTTAAAATCATGCATTTGTTATGTGCTTACTACTTAGTGATGATACAATAATGTGATTCAATTATATTTTACTTTGGTTCACATAAAAAATTGTTGTTTAGAAAAAGGAAAAAATTGTTGTTTAGGCACATTTCACAGAGATTAAATACTTACAAAAATGTTATACCATTGGGAATGTTCGATACAATTGATATTGTTAATTTAAGCTATAAAACTAGGGAATTGTGTTCGACATGGGAACAAAAGTTAATTATTTCGCTACGTTCCAACAAGCATACGTAAGAAAAATAATCATAACAAACCCAAAAAAAACAATTTAATAATTGTATATCATTGATGATAGCTATCTCTACACTTTACGATGGACATAAGAAGATAAAAGAAACATTGAAATAAACAAAAGAAGCAAAAATGGT